AGTGTTGTTGGCTCAGTGCCGTGCCATCTGTTCTGATATCCGATCGGCGGATATCCTTCTTGTGAGCCCAAGTGTCTCACGTATCACAGCTCCAGCATCGCTTGCTGGCCACCCGACCGCACTGCTCGAGAGGACTGGCACGATCGCCTCCCGTGTGCGGTTTCTGGTTGCGAAGGTCCCCTATGGGAATCCAGTCCCATCCGTTGTCGTACAAGATCTAGACGAGCTCTGCGACCGACTCCATGTGCATAGGGACTTGGGAGTGAGATGATGTACTACTATGCGCAGTACAGACAGTACCACTTGGTACAAGAATGCATACCATGTCTTCTTCTGTGTGACGTGGCGTGAACTTGATTGCCACGTCTTTCCCGGTAAGCGTGTTGAATGCGCGCACGACGTCTCCTGTATGCATGAACGTTGCTTGAGATTAGTGCCGCATCCCATAACGTTGTGCGGGATGGCGAAGTCATGGCATACGCGGATGATAGACATACCGGTAGCGCCTTCTCCAAGGAGATGTGTGACCTGGTATATGCCGCATATGTTGTAAGAGTAAAGGTAACCTTCAGGGTCTATGCTGCTCTGAGTCAAGACCAGGCGGAATGTGGTAGAGGATACCTGCACAACGCGGAGTGACCCTCGACCCCGGGCCCAGTCCTAGCAGTATGTTGCACGGTACTGAACGTCGTATCCGCCTCGAGAGTCGACGCCACGTTCAAGTCAGCTTCCTCCTAGGACTCGGAGTCGGAATTGTGGGTCCAGTTGAGTGACCAGCAAAGCCGCGGATCCATTGTCCTCTCCGACAGATCTCAATCCACACCAGGCTTAGATTCCTGGCGAGGCTCATGGCTGTCATTCACTCTCTGACACCATAATCGAGGCTTCTTTACACGATGTATCGCGAGAAAATACCTCGAACTTGAATTCTAGGCTGTCCCGCATGCAGCTGCCGAAAGACCGTGTCCTACTCGTCAGCAGGCGTGTCGCGTGAACCATCGCGCGGGCGTCGCTCGCGAGTCCATCTATCGCGATGATATGGGAGCAGCGGCGCGGTCGCTTGAGTGGAGACTTCGTCATTGGGAATCGCCCGGGCAGGAACCCAGTTTCATCAATCTAGCGAGCGGAGCTATGCGTGCGACTTCGCTGCGCATACAGTCTCGAATTGGGCCCTGCAAGTAAGCAACACAACGCGTACAGGTTCACCTACATATAGTCAGGGTTCCATTCTCGATCTTCTACGAAGTTCACGTTCAGGACGTATTCCTCTGGCAGTAGAGTGCCTTTCTCCAACGCGGACCCATCGACCCAGTCGAATAGCGAGTCAGCTCTCCATCCCTCCTTCTCCATCCTCTCACGGAACAGCCCATGCAGAAGTGCATAGTCTGGCTTTTCCCCAAACGCCAGGCTGACGCAGTGTGATTGGTATGCCTTGAACTCTGGAGGGGACTGCGCGAGGAAGGTGCCGAAGGGGCTATGGGGAGAGGTGTCTGCTTTCATGTCAGTCATGATCTTGAGTTCGGAGCGGGCATCGCGGGTGGGGATGTTGTGCCATGGCAGAGTGCCGTGGTAGAACTCTAGGAGAACGTAGAGGAGGGACTCTACGTCGTCTCTCCGCGAGACCTCTAGCCGCACCAGCATCAGCAACGGGAAGTATTCGTGACAATTATGAAGCGTACCATGCCTACGATGAGCGGCGACGCTAGCGTATCGGATGGCCCCTCGCGTAGCCCGACGCTCACAGAAAGGTACATGCTTGCCAGTCTCGCGGTCAATATACAGTGCCGCGTGAGCGAAATCGAACATGTACATGGTGTTCGGGTCCTTGTTCGCTGCACCCATCGCGAAATTCTGCGGCTTGATGTCGCAGGAGACAAGGCCGCGCGAGTGCAGGAACTCGAGTCTCTGTATCTGCCAAATCGCACATGTAAGCAAACACAATGTTGTCGAAAGCAGACCCACCATACCATCTGGTCAGCAAGCATACAAACGGTGCGCAGGGTGAACGACCCTCTGCACGTCCGCCGTAGGGCGTCCAAGCTCGGTCCCAAAATGTCCATGACTATTACATTGTGGTTTGCGTCCGGTCCAGCGTAATGGATGGAAGGAAACCCAGGTATACCGTCAGGTATGAGCTTGTAAACTGAAATTTCGTACCAGTGTTGTACGGCCGTGCGGCCTGGTCGCGTAGTCGCATGGACGACCTTGCGACTAGTCGCGCGACCGACATGCCGACCATCAAACGACCCGACTTTACCCACGCCCCAATGCGACCCGGATATGTTCGGGCCGGCCGGTGCACCCAATGATCATCTCTCCGAGTTAACCTCGCGGCCGTGCGCCTCGGGACGTGTGCCTCGTCCTACGACCACGAGCCACTCTTGCTCATGCATACTATGAGCGTGAATGCGCACTTGAGCAGCAAGCGGCGTCCACAAAGCTGTTCTGAGTCAAAGTAAACGCTCGAACCGTACTCAGAACCCCATTCAAGAACGACCTATGCGTTAGCATTTAAACCCTCGCGCGAGTCAACACCTTCGCAAGGGAGGTCGCGCGGTGTCGAGCGTGAGGGCGCGAAGCCTGCTGTGGCGCCGGGTGATGGCGCTACAGCAGAGTCTATGGCTAAAAGGCAGAGCCTTTCAGGTGGGACGTCCTCTAGTGTGTTGCCAACGGCCTCGAGCAGCCGTTCCAGAAAACGAATGCTTCGCTATGCAACTTGGACTCAACGCACTAGGTGCAGCATATTGCAGGCTTGGCCTTGACGAGGAGCTCGAGCTCTATGAACAGCTGGACTATGACACCGCTGGAGAATTGGTTGATGAGAGTAATGAGAACGTGGATGGGCTGAATGGGGATCTCGGACTGGATGAGATGACACTGGATGTAATGCAACCATAATTTTCATGTGTACTGAATGTGATCTGCAGCTCTATACGGCCTCATAGCCGGTGGTCGCGTTCAGTATGGAGGCGTAGGTCGCGGCACTAAGCGCCTGAGGGACCCGACTTTGCCATATCGGGCAAAGTCGTGGTCGCATTTCCGACCATGTGTCCGGACATCCCGACTATACACGGGGGAAGCAGAAACTACGGGTGATCTTGAGAAATTTCGCCTTCAAGAGTTCTTGATGATGAACTTAAGTGAAACGTATTTGGAGACCCTCCAGAGAAACTTAAGAGCGAGTAAATCTCAAGGGGCTCTTGAGAGCGATCGCCCGATGATCTGGAAAATTGATGCACAGACGGACGACGTTTCAGCCCGAATTCGCCACTCGATACGTATATTCCGGGCCCTCTCCATTGTGCCAAATTCACAGATGCACACTCAATGCTTGTGAGCAATCGATATATATTGGTATATCGTGTACTACAAAATATTACTATACAATTGCTACGTCAGTCGCAGTCAGCAAGGGCCGCCCTCCATAGCCCTTTCTCGTCGGCGGCCGAGCAACGCACTGCTAAAGCCCATCGACCTGTCGTTCGCGTTAGTATGAGAGGTCAATTGAACACAAAACTCGGTCTCACCTGTGACCCAGATGCCTCGTCACAAAGGAAGGTGCACAATGCAGATCTCCAAGTTCAAATGCAATGCTCAGTGGAGAGCGGAGAAGATCGCAGCGGGCAGAAGGATTGAGGGAAGGCGAACGGGGGGAGAAGACGACCAAGGCCGCACGCAGCATGCGTTTTTATGCGATAAACTGGCCGTGGGAACAGAGAATACGCTGGAATCTGGTTGTTTTGGCCGTAAACACCTCGCCGTCGCCGGCCGCAGCCCCAGAATGGGAGATTCCATCTCTTGGAAACCTCCGGATCTCGCTTGACTTCTGCCGATGCCCGGCCGTTTGTCCACCGAAAATTCTGACGCTCAACTTTGTGAGTATCTGTAGAGCTCGGCTAACATAAGCGAGGTTTTAAGTTTATTGAAAAAAGCCCTCTGGGCGTGTATGTCAGTCGCACGACTGGTCGCGCGACCGGTACAACACTGTTTCGTACTGCACGCTAGTCATCACTAGGGACTCGTCGGACGGGCATCGCGACAGCTTTATTGCCACGTCCTCGCCGGTGAGTGTGTTGAATGCCCGTATGACGTCTCCTGTTATACAGATAGTATGGCGTCAGGTCGGCTTGGGTACTTGGCACGTTTCGGGACTCAAAGCCCAGGCTACGGCAAATTGAAGGAGGAAAGGCGTACCGCTGGATCCATCGCCCAGGAGGTGGGTGACCTGGTATATACCACATACGTTATATGAGCATAGGTATCCATCTGGGTCCATTCTCGTAGCAGGCGGCAGCCCAGTCTGAGTCGGATAGCCAACATTATGAGTCATAATAGACGAGGAGGGAGGACGAACAGAAGTGCAACTTCTGCACTTCCTGTATATAGACTCGTCTGGGTCTCCTACAAAAATTGGTATCGTGTTCGGCTTGCATTATAATGCCTATATGCAAAAAATGACAGAAATTGGCGGAGTCATCATCCAGATTTTTGAATAAGAGTGCGCAGGGGGTAGGACTTTGGTATAGAATCCGCTCGGCACTTCGCTATGTTGCACTGATCACAAAACCATTTACCACTAATATCTGAGAGTACTACGCCAGTGCTCCTGTACAATATCGAAGCGAATGAATGCCGCATTCGTGGGTGGACGAAGAATCAGTGGTCGTAACAGCAAAGAGCATGACAATCCGCCACAATCTCCTCCGCCCGTGACTCTTAGCGTGACTCACCCCCCCCCCCGAACGGTTGCACTTCTGTTGCGGCTCATGCTGAGGCTCTCCTTATCGTGCACCTCACCCTTTTCTCCTAAAAAATTACAGAGAGTAGCCAAGAAGTTCAGGATACTGTTTAACAAATTTGGTGCCCACAAACTGTGTGTGGGACGAGGGAGTTGAGTAAGAAGCAAGAAGTTGCACTTCTGGTGCCGTGATAGTATCAGATCACAAGTCAATAAGTAGCTACTGATTATGTAAATAAATGAAGTATATGAGGAAAAAGAATGACCACCGCAGGGGTCGAACCTGCAATCTCCTGATCATCCGAGTTTGCAGGTTTAACCCAACAAGTTCGTAGTCAGACGCGTTGCCATTACGCCAGGCGGCCACAGTAAGCGAGCCTGCGCAAACATTTATAGCCAAAGTAGTAAGCCCACGGCGGATCTGTGTTAGTCGGTGTAATGGCGATCCCCGGCTCTGCAAGCTTGTTGGGTCCTGCACGCTAAAAGGCTCCTTGCCCTCATCCTGTCTCCCTCCTCCTCCTTCCCGATTTTCCCCTCCTTCACCCACTTTCCTTACTCTTTCTCATGGCAACCTTGACACGCCCTCGTGTAGCTGCACAGACTTGTGACTCTGATTCACGACATCCGCTCAGTCTCGACATTCCTACGCCCTTTCCGAGGCTCCCCCGACAAGTCGAGCAGGTTCGTCCAGGAGCCCAGTCAACGAACGAAACGACACGGGAGGAGCAGCCCAGTCATGCTACAACGTCCATTGAACCTGCGACGTCCTTGCCGGATCGAGCGGCTGAAGAGGATGTGCAGGTTGAACGTGCGGACTCGGTTAGTTCTGGCACTCGTCCTCCAGTTCCGTGTGCTCACTGCTGGCCCCGCTGCAGGACGAACTCATCTCTTCCATCGTCAACGTACAGCGTTCGTGTCTCACGACGTTGAACGATCTTCTCTCCACGTCGTCGAATTGGCGTCCCATCATCCCTGACCGCAGGCATTCCATGCCTTCTCCACGGTCTCCCCTCGCACTGTCCGCCCTGCCCGCACTGTATGCTAATGCCGCGTCGTCGTCGTCAGCATCGTCCTCGGCTTCCACAGCCCCTCTGCAAACTCTGGTTCTCAACCTGCGTGCGCAAGAGCCGGAGAACATGACAGAATGTCTCACGTCCGACCTCACCGACGAGCCCTCGCTTGTTCGGGAACTCGAGAAGCGTATTGGGAGGCTCGCCGCGACCCAGCTATCGCCGCACGATGGCATGCTTGCGCAGTCACTTGTCTCCCTTGTGGCCCACTTCCAAAGGCTCGCCGAACTGCATCCGAAGCCGCCACGAGCAAAAGCGGCTGCAGCGCCCCGAACGGCTTCTTGGAGCGCGAGCCCCGCCGACACCCTGCATCATTCACTCTCTGGAGACCCGCTCGTGACCCTCCAGAGACAGTTGAGCGATCTGCAACTTGAGCGTGATGCCCGTGATTCGGTCGATGCACACCCAAACCGTCCACCGGTGCAGGAAATCGAGACCGCGCTCTTGTGGACGCGTGTCGATCAAGAGTTCGAACGCATCCTCGAACTTTGTTCGCAGCGGCCACCTGATGTGGATGCAGATTTGGATCATCTGCCACCAGAGTATGATGAGGGCGGATATACGGGTCCGTTTGGTTCTGACGCGGAGCTACCCGTGTATGAGCCAGGCGACCACCAAAGTGGATTGACTGCAGACAAGGCGAAGAGCGACTTCGTCAGGTCACGCGACCGCGAGCCATCGTCCGCCACGACCGCGATAGGCGGCGTGAGTGAGAAGATGCGCATGGACCTCGAGGCGGTCGCGCTTGCTATTGACCGGCTGTATCTCGTCGCTCCGCAGCTGCATGACCAGCGTGTCGAGCTCAAGAAGAGCAAGCGCGAGCAGCTGGAGCGCGCTAGCCTGGCTGGACCGTCGAAGGAGAAGGAGAAGATCAGGGTCAGGCCTGGGAAGGAGCGGGCGGACGCAGGCGAGTTCGAGAAGATGGTTGAGCTGATTGGCAAAGCATCCGAGCGGAAGCTCGTCGATCAGGCCGTGGTGCTTGACGGGGGGATGCGGGCCAAGCTCGAACAGGCACAGAGACGCGATCAAGAGAAGGTAGAGTTTTTCCGTAAACACCTGGTATAACGTTGACTCATGTTTCACCCCAGCGCGATGCATTCGTTACCCGTCTTGCACGGCATTCCGACGCTGGACGACTACATTCGCAGGACGCTGTGCTACCGAAGAGCAGGACCAAGGATCCCGAGGCCATGCTCACCTTACCGGAGTTCATCCGCGAAGGCGTGCCTGAAGCAGTGCAGCTCAAGATGCAGATGGACGACTCGAAGGCTCTGCTAAGCCTGCCCGAGTTCGTGCGCGAGCCTCTCCCGGAACACCTGAGCCAGCCTACTCCACGCCCGCCGCCGATTTCGCGGAAGAAGTCGTTCAAGGGCATGCGCAGTAGGAGCATGTCTGCGCCGCCGCTAGCGTGGCTCTTGCCTTCTTCGTCGTCCTCGTCTCCACGGGCTACATCGCCCAGCACGCCGCCCGAAGGCAAGGAGGTAAAAGAGTCGAAGAAGTCGAGATTGAGCCGGTCGAAAAGACCCGGTTCGTCAAGCGGCATCACCACGCCGCACTGGCAAGGTCGGTTTCCTATTCACAATTACGGGTATGTCATTTTCCTGACCTCTTCCATATAGCGGGGCTTGATGTGCACTACGTTGCCGAGTATCATGAAACCCTGCAGCATGTCCTCGTGTTCATGAACGTCCAGGGCTTGATTCCTGGGGCCAACTTGGAAGCGGAGGTAGTGCCTGCGTCCGACTCTTCGGCGGAGGAACGCAGCCGACTTCTACTGAAGTGCGGCGCATCGACCTCGCCGCTTCTTGCATTGCCCGCACCTGTTGCGCCGGGTGTCAAGGAGGTGAAAGTCATGGGACAATATCACGAAATCAAGCTTCCCGTGACTGCTCCGCCTCCCTTACCTGTCGATTCGTCCCCCGCCCTACTCGACGCGACACAGCTATCCTCATCCGCTCCAACCAGCTTCGTTTGCGCCTCGTGCTCCTTGCCCCTGGTCCAAGCGTCTCGTCTGCGCGAGTACCGCGACTTGCCTTCCGAACACTGGGCGGAATTGGTTGACGCGTGGATGTGTCATTCTGACCAGCGCCTGCATGATCACGTTCAGAAGCACTCCCGCGATGGGTTCTGGCCGTCCGAGGGCGAGGCGCTCGTAGGAGGCAGCTACATCCTCTTTGAGGCGTCGGCGGTCGTGCAGAGCAACCTGTGGCCCGCGACTCAGGAGGACCACAAGGTGCGTTTCCGCTTATCCTACTCAGCTTCCTATTTTAGTGTAGACTTCGGACGAAGAGAAGGCCGTCACTGGCATCTACTACCAGTGGTCGTCGTTCTTGCCTGTCAGCGCGGCGTTGTGGCGCCCTTCGGAGCCCTAGCAGGTTCTGATGTGGCGAGCAGCATCGTTGTTGGCTTGTGAGGCGGCGACAGGAGAATCTCCTTTGGCTGATACAATGCGTCCAAGAACGACGAGGCGTGCGCTAGCTGCCCCGGTCACTTGCTTAACAACTCTCGTGTTGCCGAGAACACTGTCGCGGGAGCTACATGCGAGGGCACAATTTTTTCGTCATTTCTGCTGCTTCGTCTGTTGTCTGCATGTGCTGACTGTTCGCGTCTAATAGCCTGAAGATGGATGGCGACGGACTCGGTGCATATGTGGGGCTATCGTGGGTCGTTGCCAAGAGCGGCCGTCTTCGCCAGGTAGCATGGTATATCGCCTCGCCAAGTACGCTGTGCGACCCATGAGTGCCAATCCTGAGTAAGTACCTTTTGATGCACCATTGCGAGTCGTGCTGACTGTGTGCTGGCTAGGCCGCTGAGGTTGCCTCTTTCCGCGTTTATCGCAGAGGACATGAACGAATTCGTGCACGCACATGCAACATATCGATTCGTGATCTTCGACGAAGAGGAAGAACGACCCCGTATCCTCGTGAGTAATTGTGTATCAGTGCTTCACGACTTACACTCAAACGCCATCAAGGTTTGGCTATTCAAGCCCAGCATGCGTCTATCGTACACCGTTCCAACTCAATACGTGATACCGAAGAGCGGAACCGTCCGGGCCGCGAAGGTGCTCTTCAAGATCCTCGATACCGCAGCAGCCTACTCCGATTTGACATCGTATGTCTGAGTTGTGGTCCTAGCGCGGACCCGGTGACTGATCGTGTTCCTCAAGGTTGTTGAAGCGATACCCAGGCTTCCCGCAGGCCGAACATCTTTACTACCCACGGGGAATATGCCGCCGCATCGGTGGCCTGCTCAAGGAGAGTAACACTGCGTACCCCGACAACATGCGCACCATGACCGGCCTGGACGTTGGTTGGCTGCAACGTGCGTAAAGCATCGATCGCTATCTTCCTATCATTCGCGCGCTCCCTCCTTGATATCATGCATCCGTACATATATGTTCCATCTTCGCCCTCTGTCATATATCGCATCCACATCTCTTCTGCATCTTAGACGGCAGGGCTTCCTGCTTTCTCTTGTCTGTTGTTGTATCCCTTGATGGACTGTGCAATCTGTGTTTGCCTTGGTTTCTTCGTCGTGCACTTGGCTGTGTAGGTCCCATAGTAGATCGTGTTGAGTTCTCGGTACATACGATAGAGCGCGGTGCTGGCGCCACATATCCGGCAAGTTTTACTATAACCGAAGTACTTACGGACCTCCGTGCAATTTCATATCGCACTCGGTATTTCACGATTTCACGTCGTCAACAGCACCTTAGGATGGTCCGGTGTCGAAGTCCCGGTGGGTCTGTAACACCGCATATGAATTCATGATTGTCGAGCTTGGCTAACTGCGGGAGGCACTGCACGGCAAAATATGGTTCCTCCTGAACTCGCAAGGTACTTCTTCTCTTCGCTTTACTGGGGTGATACTCATAGACGCTTATTCATCCAGTCTTCTGTGCTATGTGAACGGTCTTTATGTGCAATGTGAACAGAACCACTATACTGTTCCCGTGCTCCACAGGCCACGGCCGATGTGCGGCGAGGTGAGAAACACACACGCACAAGACCTGCGGAATCAGCCCCTTTTGTTACCGAAGCAACGTACCGCCTAATATGACTTTACGAAGCCAAGCGAAGTGTGCGCCATATACAGCTCATTCCGTTACTTTCGGAAGGTCTCTGAGAGCGTATTTAGGTCCGTCCGTTCTCATGGAATCCTCTTCGTGCCGAGCTTATCGCTCGCCTCGCTCCCTCACACTCAGCGCCATGCTAGGACTCATTGGCCCTGCGCTGCTTGTTTACTGTGGTGTCTGGGTGCTGTGGCAAATCGTACGGCGGCTAGTTGTCAGG